CCACCCCCACCACCTCCTCGACCACCCCCACCTCCACCACCCCAACCACCCCTTCCGCCGCCTTCTTGTCTCTTTTGCCAAGGGGGCATTTCAGGGGGTGGTGGTTCGATTTCATTCGGCCGTCCTCCTCTGTCAGGCACCCTTCCCATCAGCACCTGTGTGAAGAGACATTGTCCTTCAAGTTCTAATATTTTAGAAATTACAATTTACATAAAGGATTCAAGTGATATTGAACTTACTGTTCTAATAAAGAAACAGAAGCCAAATATTTAAGGACATGAAAGCATCAGACATGTAACACGAATTAATACTGAAAATATAAATGTGATGTGTGACAAATTCCTCACAGTGTAGATTACTTTTAAACAATCTGGGGAATATTGCTGAAACTTAAGGGCTTGTTAATTTTCTCTTGTTCAAATTTGTTTCAAATTCTGGAATAAATGCAGTACCCACCATACTAAAATATTTTTACCAACATATTTTCAATATACATAAATTATATACCCTATATTCATTAACTTCATATCTATTTATACAACAACTCTGGACTTCCCACTGCCATTCATTTGGTCATGGATTATCTAACAAAAAATTATATTCCTAAACACGTATTATTTTAAAAGTATTAAGTATATATGGTAACATGTGAATTTAATGAGATGTCAGAGATGAGTATGACTATAATCCAAGGTATCCCTCTAGAGATACAAGGATTCTCAATGAACTATTCCTTTCTTATGAAACTTAAGCTCACTAACTTTCAATGATGATACTAGTTACTATATTATCATAGAGAAAATAAAGTCTTGATAGGCCCTCATAACCATTCTTCACAATACTTGAAGGATAAGCCAGGGAAGAGTTTGGTTTAATCCCCAGCCTTCTGTAGAAAGGAGCTACTTTATATGCCCATAAATACAGACAGACACTGCTGAGGAAGTTAAGTTAGGAGACTAGCTTCCTGCTCATCTCTTTCAGGAAAGAAGGTAAAACAGTAACTGCCTCAACCAAAATGACCTACAAATCAGTTAGGTTCTACTTCCATTGATCCTCTCATCAAAACCATGTTTTAGTAACTTATGTCATAAATTAAAGACAAAAAGTACAACATCCTTACTGTGGGGGCATTGTTCGAAGAATGCAAACATTCTCTTAAAGTCACCAATAATGTTCTAATTACCAAATGCAAAAAACAGCTTTTTTTGGTTGTAATTTTCATTGGTCTCTCCACCAAACGAACATGCTATGTTGGTGGCCACGTGGGGACACTGCTCCAAGAACTGATAAGATTGCCTTCAAATGGACTATAAATCATAACTTGGAAAAGAGATGGGCAATGTCACTTAAAGTAGAACTCTTAATCCCCTAAGACTAGATCATGACCTGATATAAGATACTAAGTAACATATTTAAAGACAGAATAGTTTCAAGAGGCAGAGGATGTTGATCTAAAACAGAAGAGGGAGGAACAAACACTGGTAACTTAGTAATAATTAACAAGTTGACTTTATATACACCCATCCCTCTAGCAAGATATACTGTATCAAGGACACTTTTTTCACTGAGTAACAATGTTTTAAAATTGCCCAAATCCCTTCTGACTTTTTGCTCTTTCCTAATAAAGTCTGCCATAAAGTGCTCTAAATATAGGGCACATGCCAGTCAAACTGACAAATCTAGATTATTGTCATTGCTGCTGTTGTAAAAGATTCAATCTCTTTGAGCTTGTTTAAAAGCAATGTTATTAGAGAAATGTATCTATACTCTTAATCAGAAAATGGAACCTCCAAA